CTTGGATAATATTTTTTACTGGATATAGAGGTTGACAATTCTATTCTTTTGGCACTTAAAAAAATATGCCACTTTGCTTGCCTCTGAGGTTTCTGATGAGAAAATGAAGTCATTCAAATAACAGCTCCCCTATAGGTAATGTATTGTTTTTCTCTGGCTGCTTCCAATCTTTTTTTTTCTTTAGCTTTTAACCAATTTGATTATGATGTATCTGGGTGTGAATTTAATTGAGTTTATCCAGTTTGGAATTTCCTCAGCTTCTTAGATCTGTAATTTATGTCTTTCACCAAACTTGGGATTTTTTAGCTCCACACTTTTTCTCCTTTCTTCTGGGATTCTGATGGCACCGATGCTAAACACTGTCCACATTATGTTTGCTTACTTAGAACTAGAGGGCTTCTCCGGCAGCTCTCTTTGTCCATGTCCTGAAGCCTACTTCTGTTTTTTGGTCTGTGTTTAGTCCAGAGTTGGGTAACAGAGGGAAACAACTGGTAAACTTATGGCTAGTTGGGCAGCATTTCAGATTTTGGTCTGGTTCCCCAATCCACCTGCTAGTATTTACTTTCCACAGTCCTGAAGTAGCTGCTTCATGCATGCTGTCCACGCTCCACAGGTGAGCTCAGTGGGAGGCAGAGCGTGGAGCTTGTTTTCTTCATCTTACTCAGAACTGGAACCAGCTCTCTCAACTAAATATAATGAGACAAAAGCCATTTTACCACAAACACTAAACAAAATATATAACATGTATATTAAGCTGGCGGTGTAAAGCCAACAGGCTGAATAAAAAGAAACTCATCTTAGAACTGATAGACCTCAGCTGATCCTCGCGATGATTAGTGACTTTTTATTTGGCATGGCACCTGGCGTTTATTTGCTTCCACTGAAAATACATTCAATCTGGAGATTGTTCCAAATGTAGGCTGTGCACAGTATCATCAGAGGCAACTTGTTGCGCTTTTTGTTCTTTTAAGTCTTATAAGTCCTGACTTAAATGGAGAGAACTGCTGATTAACACAATTTTTAAAAGAGCTTAATCAGGGAAATTCTCAGCTGTTACATACAAAGAACACTCAATCTATAGAGCACTATGATCACTCTGCCAAAAGAGCCGGCAGTTAGAACACCATTGTGTGCATTAATTATTGACATATCAATGGAGATGAGCCAATGGAATTCTTTAATGAATCATTTTTAAAGCAAATCATTACCCACTGATTTTTGATATTATATATGTATTTTTTTTCTATAAATCGGGTTTATATATTCAGATTTGATTTCCTAGTTTCTGAGTGGGTTTCTCACTCTAATTCACAAGCCAGCCTAGGGTAACATGGTAGACTTGTGTATCTAATGTACATGTATCTAATGTACTTTTCAGGCAGTATTATGCCTTCAGCAACCACTGGGCAGCAGGACACCATACTTAATTAGCTGCCTTTGCAGTTATCAGACTCCAATCACATTTGATTAAGGGCACCATTTATTTCACTCAAGCCGGAGAGTGCTCTCCTGGGGAGAGGCAGGTGGTACTCTCCTGTTGATGAAGTCCAGAGAGCCAGAGAGAGAGCCTGTCACCAGAAGTGACACTCTGCAGCTCAGTCACAGACTTTCCAAATGATCTTGCAGAAGCCATTTTTCTCCCCAACATGTTTTATTTATTGTATTTTTTAAATCATTATGATTCTTTTTGATCACTATGTTGCTCAAACTGGACTCAGACTCCTGGACTCAAACAATCTTCCCACCTCAACCTTCCAAGTAGCTGGGATGACAGGCATGCATTTTCCATGCCTGGCTTAAAACCTAGATGTTTTCAAAGCCCAGTGTTCTCATTAATGACAGGAAAAATTTGTAAAGCCCTTCTAAGTGCTTCTTTGTATAAATGTATATGTCAGAGGGGCAAGTTACTATTCCCTCTTTACACATGAACAAACTGAAGCTTGGTGATATTAGGAGATCTAAGTTCAGACAGCATCAGGAACCCAAGCCCGATTTTTCTGAATCCAAACATTTGTGGTCTTTCTCCTACAACTTCCTATCACTAAAACTACTGTTAATCAAGAATAGAATTACAAAGCATTGTTTCCTGTTTAATTCTACTTGGCAAAGGCCACGAGGGTCTATTTACTTAATGTAAGAATGAATATTACTTGAGACTGCAACCTCAAAGTAGAGTTTTCAGCATTTATTTGATAAACTTAAATTCTAATATATTTCTATGTGTGATACTTCAGAGGCTGATCCTACATTATGCCTGATGTTTGTTTAAAAAAAAAAAATGTCGTATCCACACAGTAGAGTTGGCTATTTGCAACCACAGGTAGCTCTTACTTTTTGCAAAATGCAGGTAGCTCTTATTTTTTGCAAAATGCGGCATAGAGAGATATAGTTTTGCTTATGTTTTTGACAGTGTGAATTTATAAGGAAATATGTTTAAAGTAATTTGTCATGTTTTTCTCTATTTTTGTCAGATTTGTGCAAAGGCACAAAATTTTTTTTTTATTACCTGTAGGGTCTTTTTCTTCCTCTCCTTTCTGTAACTATGAATATTGAAATTAAAAATTCTCTTTGTTTCTCAGTCACAGAGTTACTACCGGCTAAATAGCTGGGGCTTTCACCCACAGCACTTTCAGATGGAATCCTATTACACTTCATAAGGTTATCACCACCCTCTGACATTTTCATTAGTTATGGGTGTGTACATCCTAACATTTTGCAGTGGGGAGACAGCTGGGAGATATTGTGTTCTGGGTTGCAGCTGCCCATCAGAAGTCTTCCAATATAATGGAGTAAAAATCACTGGGTGTATGTAGTTCTTCCCTCCTCAATTTTATCCATAAAACATTTCATCTCCAAAAATTATGAAGGTGAGTTGCACAGGAGCCTGTTGTCTTAATAGTCATAGGCTGGCAGATCATATTACTTAATTGATAGAGCACATTCAACCCAGAAACATGACAGGAGGTTAAATTATTATAATCAAATGGGCTTTTCAGTTCTAGTCTCCATGATCTGATTATAATTTATCATAAACAGTGTGATTAGAAAGTGACAATTGATTCTATTATTCCTTTTACTCTGTAATGACACCTAATCTGTATTCCATGAAAAGATATTCTTTGAAACCAATAACACATTCAAATGATGGTTTGATTTTGCTAAGCAAATATTTTTCCAGATGATGCATATTAATTTAGAACCCACGAAATGTCAGGTTTTTCATGTTTAAACGAAGAATTGATCTGCGTTTAAATAATCTATTCTGGATCCTTCAATCTATTAGGCCCTGTGGCTTCGATAGTGAGTTGGCAAACTGGCTTCATGTCCTCTTAGGTCTGGGGTGTGGAAGGGCAGACAGATAATTAAGGAACATAAATAAACTGATAAATAGTAACAGGAGAGTGTGTTAGTCTGTCTTCACACTGCTAGGAAGAAATACCTGAGACTGGGTCATTTACAAACAAAAGAGGCTTCATTGACTCATGGTTCCACAGGCTGTACAGGTAGCATGAATGGGGAGACCTGAGAAAACTTTCAATCATGGCAGAAGGTGAAGGGGAATCAGGCACGTCCTCACACGGCTGGAGCAGGAAAGAGAGTGAAGGCGGAAGGGCTACACACTTTTAAACAACCAGATCTCGTGAGGACTCACTCACTGCCACAAGAACAGCAAGGGAGAAATCCACGCCTATGACCCATGCACCTCCCACCAGGCCCCTCCTACAACATTGGGGATTACAATTCGACCAAATCCAAACCATATCAAATAGAGAAGGGATAATGCTACAGCAGCGTACAACGGGGACTCAAATCCAGATATAGTGGGTAAGAAGAGGTTCCCTCCAAAATATAGTGTTTAGGTCTTCATAAGGATAGCAATGAATCATTTTCACTCATTGCATCTTGAAACCTTCTTCAGATCTTCAGGAACCAGTGAGGAGTAGCAGAAACAGGTCAAGTATGTCTCATTTTAAATGCCAGCCCTTTACACAGTAGCTATATGAAATGACTTTACTCTGAGCCTCATCGTCCTCATCTGAACAGACAGGAATAATACGTAGGTCACAAGGACTATTCTGAAGGTTAATTAACTTATATGTTTTAAGCATCGGTGACAGAGAGCGCATTAAATAAATGGTAGCTCTCTTTCTTCCAACAATTCCTGCTGCCACCAAACACACTTTCTTTTATAATATCCAACTGTGATTTCTGTCTAATTAAGGCAGCTCCTAAACCTAGATTATATGAACAGATATGAGGTAATCTGATTTGGACACAATCCAAGTCAATAAAAATGGACGCTCACATAGACTGCTTTGTTATGGTAACATATTCAATTCAGAATGAACTGAAATATCACAAATCCTACATTTTATATAACATAAAACATAACAAGCAAATAGAAGAAAATAAAGGCATTCATTGTTCCCACCACCACAAGGAGTGTATTCAGGTTGATTAGAGAAGGACAGGTCAGTTTTGACAGAGGTAAAAAGGACTAAAATAGCATCCGAATGTAAAGAGGGGAGAAATCTCAGTGTATTCCCGAATTTCCCTGAGGCGCCGTTGTTGGCTTGCTGTTCTATTTCTTATACTTCTCTTCAGAATATCTCATTCATTCCCACACACCTTTCAACCCCAGTATCTCCAGGCTTTTTACTCCCAGACCTATATGTGATGCTTCATGCTCTCCACTGAACTTCAGAATGGAACATTCCACCATCTGAAGCTCACTGAGTTTGGTTCATACCCTGTAGGCTTTTCCTTGTTTAATGTACTAAAAGTAGAACTCATTCCCCTCTCTGAACCTTCCTGAATATTCCCCATTAGTTCCCAGCACACCATCCAGCCTCTTATCCAAAGCAGAAACTTCAGAATTAATTCAGACATATTCTTCTTATTTAGCCCCAATCCTTATGCTCACATCCCATCAGTCGTCAAGTCCTAATCTCTTCTATCCTTTTATCCCGTAGCACAAAACACTGTCAAATAACACCAACCTTTGCTTTCCAGGTGTACTGGGAAGATAGGTAGTGGCAGTAATGCCTGGGAGTTGGTTACAAGTGCAGAATTTCAGGCTGCATCCAGACCTGCCAAATCCGAATCGGCATGTTAAAAAGGTGTCTAGGCAACTCCATTACAACTATGATCAAACTTTTACATTATCTTTTTTTAAATTATAAGAATTTTCAGGGCCAGGCGCGGGGGCTCAAGCCTGTAATCCCAGCACTTCGGGAGGCCGAGACGGGGGGATCACGAGGTCAGGAGATCGAGACCATCCTGACTAACACGGTGCAATCCCGTGTCTACTAAAAAAAATACAAAAAACTAGCCGGGCGAGGTGACGGGCGCCTGTAGTCCCAGCTACACAGGAGGCTGAGGCAGGAGAATGGCGGGAACCCGGGAGGCGGAGCTTGCAGTGAGCTGAGATTGCACCACTGCACTCCAGCCCGGGCGACAGAGCGAGACTCTGTCTCAAAAAAAAAAAAAGAAAAGAATTTTCAAACATATAAGAATCATAGATAATATAAAACACCCATATGCCACTACCCATATTAATAATTATACTTTCTTGAGATATTTAATTTAAAACAATTTTTAGGGACAGGGTCTTGCTATGTTGTCCAGGCTGGTCTCAAATTCCTGGGCACAGGCAATCTTCCCACCTTAGCCTCCTGTGTAGCTGTGATTGCAGATGCACTCCACCATGATTAAGCAATGATATCAGAGTTGAAAGCCACTTCCCAATACTCCTCCCTAGGGTGACCAATGTGTCTCAGTTTGCCACATACCATCCAGATTGCTGTACTGAAAGTCTTGAATCCCTGGAAACTTCTCAGTCCTGGGGAAATTCATGGGTACTCTTCTCTCCCTCACACATTTACACATTCACGACATGTGCTTGTTTTCATAAATAATAATACACAGAATGATTTGATGTGTTTAACTTTATGCAAATAGCATCATGTTGCACACGTTGCTCTTCAGTTAGCTCTTCACATAGCATTATTTTGAGATTTACTCTAATGGTATGTTAATATGAATTGAGTTATTTTAATTGCTGTATCGTTTGCATGAATATACTCTATCCACTGTCTTCTGATGCAGGTGCGGGTTGCTTCTAATGTTGTTATTTTTTAAATAATACATCAACCAACAGTACAAATGTCTCCTTGCGCAGATTTGGAAATTTCCTAGGGAATATATCTTGAAGAGGTGTTACTGCTAAATCCTAAAGTATGTCTATCTTCAGCTTTACTACATGGGGTCTGATTGCTCTCTACATGGAGCAGTTCATGTTCTCCCATCAACAACGTGAGAGCCCTTTTATCTTTGCCAGCACTGCTTGGCACTATCAGACTTACAGAGTATTGCCAGCCTGATGAGTGTGAAATGGTCTTTCAATGTCTTAAGTTGGTTTTTCCTGCTTTAGTTAGCCAGGTGGAGTATCTTTCACTTGTTTCTGGGTCATCCAGTTTTCTGCTCTATGACTTTTTTTGTGCACACACACGTTGCCTGTTATCTTATTGAGGTATTCTGGATACTAACCTTTCGTGAATCATACAAATTGCAATTCTGTTGCTCTCTGTATTAAAAATTTTAAAAATCAAGATATAATTCACATCCCATAAAACTCACCCTTTTAAAGTGTACAGTTCAGTGTTTTTTAGTGATCTTTTGTGTTTTTTAATCTTTTATTTTAGACATCTTTTCTATCCTGATACCATAAATGCCATTCTCCTCCCATTAAAAAAAAGTAATTGTTTGCTTTTTGTTTTTATGTATGTAGTTTGATAAGAGTGGATTTTTGATTGTGGAGTGATGAATTGATCTCATTTAACGTTTATGCATATGGATAGCTAGTTGTTTTAGCAACATTTGTTACATAATCTATCCACCTCCACTAGTTGGTAATGTCATTTCTGTTATCTATCAAGTTTCCATATACACATCAGTCAATTTCTAAGCTCCACATTCTTTCGGTTTATCTGTGAACCAATATCACACAATTTGTTTTTCATAACTTTATAATAAATCTTGATGTGTGTAAGGCATATCTTCTGACTTTGGTCTTTTTCATAGCTCTTTTCTCTCTCCACGACCTTTACTGTCCCACATAAATTTTAGGCCCATTCTTTCAAATTCAACAAAAAATATTCTTGTGGATTTTGATTGGAATTGCACTGAATTTACAGATAGTTCAGGAAGAACTGCCATATTCAAATACTGACATCTTTACAATACTTGCATCCACAATTTGATATGTCTCTTAATTTCATTAGGTCTCCCTTTATCCCTTGTAATTTTTACATGGTTATAATACTCACTAAATGCATATATTATTACTGGATTTCTTACTGGATACATTATTGTTTTAAATATTGTATTTCAGATTTATTTATGCACATATCTATTACATTTTCTTATTGATTGTTGATGGTATCTAGGAATAAACCACTTTTGTACACTGATCTTATATCCAGCAATTTTGGTGAATTCCATTTTTTATAGTCCGAGGAATACCGACAATCATCTCATTTGTAAATGAGAGCAATTTACTTTCTTCCTTTCCAATTTTTATTACCTTTTTAAAAATGTGTCTCGCTGATTGCGCTGGCCAGGACTTCCAGTACAATGCTGACTAGAAGTGGTAGAAGGTACTAGTTTGTCATATTTTTGCCTTTAAAGGCAAGGGTTAAAACAACATACCATTGATTATGGTGCCTGATTTAGGGTGGTGCTTTTTAAAATACATATTTACTAGGTTAAACATTTTTCTTCTATATCCCTAGCTTGCTAAGTGTTTTAACTCTGAGTGATGATTTTAATTGCTTTTCCTTTTAAAACTGATCTTAGAATTACTCTTCTTTAAGAGACCTTTCCAGCACTCTAAAGTTGGAATCAAAGCTCCTTGTCTCTGATCCCACTGTATTTTGTGCTTCCCGCAGCAAGTTCATCTGCTGATGTGTCTATGCTTCTCAGTAGCTTCTAAGCAACTCAAGGGCAGGAACCTCATGTTTGATTCATGGCTATATCCTCCAGCACCTGATGTAGATCACGAAAAACTATACATAGCTGTAAGATAAATTGTGGAAAACATGTTCTAGAAACTTTATTTTTCCTTCCTCAAAACCAATTCTATTTCTGACAATTAGGCTTAATTTACAAAGACAATAATAACAGCATAGAAATTGGACTGAGAGAAGTTTTAGTTATCTACACATGTATATTTTCTTTTAATATAATTCATAGAATGTAAATATACATTTGAATATCATTGACTTCCTTCTTACAGCAAACCTAAGTTGTTGCTACATTCTAAATCAAGTTCATATTTATTTTAACATCATATTAGTTACTTATCTTTGTGTCATTATTAAAACAAAAATAAGGCTCCCACAAACTTTGATTTGTTCAGTATGTACTTTCTAGAGGTCTTTTCATATCTAGTTACTAAGATTATTTTAACTTAATTAATTTAAATGATTTTTTTTTTTTTACCAATGCCAAAGGCCTTTTTAAATGCATTATGTTTGTCAGTGTTTGAATAGCCTTACCTGTTTATTCCAGAACACTAAGATACGTAATGATCACAGGACCTCAAATGCCATTTGAAAATATGAAACCTTTATCTTTTAAGTCAGTTTTGCTTTCATGCATAGCATGACTCTCAAATCACAGTTGTAATATTTATTAGCTGTCTTTGCCAAACTGTGGGTAATACATCTTTCACATTTCATTGAGAAGAAAAGAAATTTAATCTCACTAGGATCTCCATTATTAGTTCTCCCTCTTGGGTTTTTTTTTTTTTTTTTTCCTGTGTGGATTTTATGTTGGCCAGATGGGCTCTGAAGAATCCACAGACGGATCAGTATTTTACAATGGCAAAGTGGAAAAGCAAAATCTATTTTTGAGTTAGGAAATTAAATGCAATGTATTGTCATCTAGCTCACTATGTCCAAACTAGTCAATATTTTATTCCTATTCGATATTGTACAATTATTCTCTTACAAAACAGAATACCTTCATTTTCCTCTACTTCAGTTCTGTGTTTATCTTGTTCCACTGGATAACAGTAATTAGCCACTCAATGACACCCTCTATTCCCTTGAATTCTACCAACTCTAAAGAGGACTCTATAAACCACATTTTTACGCTGGATCTACTTTCTGGGGAATGGCAATTAAATTTCATTAGCAGCCAAAAGTTAAACATCCTTTTCCATATTCATCACAGACGAATCTGTCTTCCATGAAGCAGAGTTGCTGAATGAAATGTTTGAGAATCAATCTGGTGGGAAATTGTTTATTTCTCAAATTGGCCCAATTCTCATTTTTAAATATTCCGACACTTCTCTCTTCAGGTAGTTGCCCTCATGGTCAAAAATCTCTTAAATGGAGAAATAATTATAAAGTCATGTAGTTTGTCATAAATGGTTTCAAATGGTGTAACATCTCAAAGTGTGCATTCCAAATATTTCATGTATGGAATAAATAAAAAGAAGCTTCATTTGGAGCCTTCTCATCTTTGTCTATCGTCTTAATGATGTCTAAGAATGTGTCTGTTCTACATAAAACCAGATACCTGATTTCCAGAAAAGTACTATATTATTTCATTTTAGTTTTGCTAGGCATGACCAATAAAAGCACTTTGTTAAAGGATCTTTTGCCTGACCCACTTATTCCTACATTATATTCAAAGTTTACCCTTCCCCCTCTAGCCACACTGAACAGTAGGGACTTTCTCAACTGGATCATTTTCTTTCTTGTATCTTTGACTTTGTATGCAAGAGTCTTTCCAAAAAGCATGTCCCTTTCTTCACTATTTATGTAAATATCTACTTTGCCTTCAAAACTCTGATCAGATTCCATGTTGATGATGTGTTCCCTAATCATCTCCTCCTAAACACACACACACAAACACACACACATAGACTTAGCTTTCCAGTCCTCCAATAATACTTCATAGACTAGCTCTTTGAATTAGAATTATTTGTCTATGCTCTCTTTTCTTATCAGATTTTGAGGTCTTGGAAGTCAGAGTCCATCATTTTTTCATCTTTGGATCCCAGGACCTAGGCCAGCACTGCCATGGTAACAGGCACTCAATGTGCATTTATAAATAATCGATTCAACTAAACATGCTGAATACTGTAAAAATTATTCTTAAATTCTGAATAATACGGACTCTCCTACACTGAAGTCAGTATCTGTGACTATAATGACCAGAAGTAGATAGGCTATCTTTTAAGTTCAATTTTTAAAGTTTTTCATAAGACAGAAGTAAATCGTAAAATTCCTAACAGAAATAAGAAAGAAAAAGGGCACCTGAATTTATCTGCCAAAATTGACTCATATTTAGAATAGAAAGAATCTTAAAAAAAAAAAAAATGAGAGGGCGGGGCACAGTGGCTCTTGCCTGTCAGCACTTTGAGAAGCCGAGTTGGGCAGATCTCTTGAGGCCAGGAGTCCAACACCAGCCTGGACAACATGGTAAATACAAAAAGTAGCCAGGCATGGTGGCGCCTGCCTGTAATCCCAGCTACTTGGGAAGTTGAGACCTGAGAATTGCTTGAACTCAGGAGGCAGAGGCTGCAGTGAGCTGAGATTGTGCCACAGCACTCCAGTCTGGGCAACAGAATGAGACTCTGTCTCAAATAAATAAAATAAATAAATAAATAAATAAAAAGGAGAGCAAATTGAGTAAAATAAGACTTTTCAACTAAATTAGCTCCTGTGACTGTTTTATAAACAAATCTTAATGGTTAGTTTGCAAAAGAGCAAGGGCAATTGAAGTTAGCAGAATTAAGGGCTGAAAAGCAACATTGATTATATCAGCGGGTGACTAGGGGAAGACCTCAGCAAGGGAAGTCAAGAGGCCCTAACCCAACCATTTACAAACACTCTAAAATGCCCACATTATGTTTTGCTCTCTTTTTAGCTCATTTTAAACTGAGCAAGCATTTTTATTTTAAAAACAAACAAAAATATAAACCAAATTATAAAAATCTTCATTTAAGTTACCTAACATTTCATTGTGCTACTGCTTTCTTGCTTATCACTTTTCTAATAACCACGAGGGTTTAACTTTCTGTTATGACTATTAAAATGATTTCACTAAGAATGTGCCTGGATGCTTGAAAAAGAGGAAGCATCATTTGTGAGTTTCAAAACAGAAATATTTGACAAGTATATGAAGGAACCCTTGTAAGCATTCTTGGAATTAATTTTTTTCCTATCTCCTGCATCCCCAACCACCAATTAAAAAAAAAAAAAAAGCACTTTGGGTGGAGTTAAGAACTCTTTTCAAATGTTAAACAATAACTGGAAATCCTGAAAATGTATTCCCTTTTATCAAGTAGGAAAATGCTTTAAAGTCTCCCCCCACCACTGCCGCCTTTCTTTTTGCTAAGAATTGTTTTGCATGATATTTACTCACTAGTTTCTATTTTGAACAGAAAGTTCAGTTATAACTGCCTGAAATATAATACCATCTGTGTTTATTTTCCCTTCTGAAACATGATTTTTTCCCCCCAAACATAACAAGTACCTGGTCCTAATAACCTAGATACATGTATCAACTCAACTAATTCTTCACTGTAACCAGCGGTGAAATTAAAGATTTAGAACGTGTACCATAAAAATGTGAACTTCATTGCAAATGTAAATCATATCAAGTACATCTATACATTCAAATATTTAAAAATATTCTGATTCATAAGTAGTTATGAGTTATATGTATTTACTTGGGTTGGGTGGAGGTAGCTATGGAATGAGAAGGAGTACACAACACACTCCATGATATAGTTAGTGAATCAAGAAATAGGCCAGGAGCCAGATGACCAAAGAATCACAGAATCACTTTGACTTCACATTTTCCAAATCTATACTCACACCTCTACCTGGGACAGCAGCATCTAGCATGTGGAGACCATTTGAGAAAAAAAAAAATTAAATGTATTAATAGTATATTTTAAGTTACTTTAAATACTGTGAAGTAATATGCCACCATGAACATCATTATATATTTATATTTGAGCTGATAAGTTACTGTAAAAAATCATCCTGACAGTTTTCTAATGTAAAAAGTGGGCTTAATCTCTTTTCTACCAAACCACCCATGAAGAAAAATTCAAACATTTTATTTGGAGCTTATTTGCATTTCAAAGAAGGCTTAAATTCCACGCATGGTTTTTTATTATAGCTTGACATTTCTTTCACATTTATTATAGTGTTCGAGAGTATCCCGAAGTATTTTTTTTTTTTTTTTTTTGGTATTCTCAGAGTCATTATCTCTAATATCAGCCTCAACACTGATTCTAGAAAGTTTATGTGGTGCCAGGTTTTCTATTCTCGGGAAATGGAGGATGTGTAACAAGCCGTCTCAATGGACACGTCCCTAAAATAGCTGCGCACATAGTACTTAGCGCCTAATGTTTCCCGTTTCCACTTGAGCCTTTGTAGGGCATGAGTTAAACAGAACATTTCCCAAATCACCATGATCCCGACTTGAAAAACAAGAACAGAAGACAGAGGTACAACCGCTGCTGCTAACTGAAAGCCATGGGGATTTCGACGCAAGAAATTCTTATGTTCCTCATTCTCAACCTTTTATTTCTCAGTTGTGGATTCCTCTCTTGAGCAACTGACAAGTACAGACTTTTCCTGCCATACAGCCCTGGAGGCAGGTCCAGATTCTGTATTTCCCTTTGTCCAGAAGCGGGTCTAAAATAAATTTCTAATTTGTTACAAGGAAATGCTTCACAGAGTCTACATGTATATATTTCATTTGTGTTTTGGTGCCTTGTTGTTTATCACTTTGCATTACCCGTGCCTAGCTTGTCCTAGGCTCTAAACCTGTTTCCTGAAGTTGCTGTATATGTATTATGTGAGAGCTGACATTTCATGTCTCATCTGTTTTTTATTAATAACCTCTCTTTTTCCTGACATCTATTGGGTATATTAAATTCATACATGATGACAAAATAAACTGGCTATAATTAAATAACAAATTTTAACTTGCACAAAACAGACAAAACCATATCACTGACGATGTTACAAAATTATCAATAAAATGATGCCTATGTAAAACATTATTAGAGTACACAAAATAAAACAATAAAAGAATAACTCTTTTTAGTTCCTTTATAGTGAAGGCAATTTATTTTGTATATTATTTTGCGTATTTTGTCAAACAACATAGTCCATTAGATAGTGATCTGTTAATATCTCCAGTAAAGATTTCAGGTCAGTAACCAGTCTTGAAATCTCTTGCCCACAACTATCACTTAGTACTTTTAAAAGACATAACTGGACAACTGGACAAGAGGAAGAGCATCAGTACTGCCAAATTTGACTAATACTCACGAGAGGATATTCCCAATATAAGCGTAGTAGGAGCAACAGTAGGGTGTGGTTCCATCACAGCAGTAAGATTTGCAATCTTTGCCACACTGAGCAAGGCAATAATCTACAAAACAAAAACCATTTGTGAGCAGTCATAGTTGTAAAATCACAGTTTCAGGAAAAATTATGCTATTTCACATCTTAATCAGCCAATGACCACTCTTTAGTGGTTTTAAATCTTCATTTTCGTCCTCAGAATTCAAAAACATTCGTAAGGATCTAAATTAGCCTCCCTTCCCCATTAGACTCTAACCTGTAAAGACAAAGACAATTCTTGAATCTTCTACACCAAGCACCATAATTGCTAGTCAGGGTTAGTTGAATGAGATAATGAAGGAAGGAATTAAAGAACAATTAAACTACTCAGTCATTGGATTTGTCCATAGAGTTTTTATAATAAATTTTAAATGATAAAGTCTTCTTGGCCAAGCAAAATGGCTCATGCATGTAATCCTAACACTTTGGGAGGCTGAGGCGGGTGGATAACTTAAGGTCAGGAGTTCGAGACCAGTCTGGCCAACATGGTAAAATCCAGTGTCTACTAAAAATACAAAAAGTAGCTGGGTGTGGTGGTACACACCTGTAATCCCAGCTACTCAGGAGGCTGAGGCAGGAGAATTGCTTGAACCTAGGAAATGGAGGTTACAATGAGCCGAGATCATGCCACTGTACTCCAGCCTGGGCGACACAGTGAGGCTCTGCCTCAAAAAAAAATAAATAAAAAAAAAGTCTTCTAACTTTAGGGTCTTGTATTCTCACCTGAACTCAATCGATAGAAGGTTTAGTAGTATGAATAACACCAAAATGGAATAATTTCAAAATGATGTATATTTTCCATGATACTACATTGTATGCTTTCCTTTTTGTGCCATTTTTTACCTGTATAATTACAGTTTGCATACATGTGGTAACACAATGAGTCTGCATCCTGTAAATTCATTTGGATTAAAAGATGATTGGTTATAGGAAGAAATCCCCATAGACAATATTTTGTAAACAATTAAGAGTTTACTTAATGTCAGATTGAGGAATCAGTAAGATATAAAACAGTACTATGTGAAGGAGGAAAAGTTATTTTCTGAATAAAGGATCAGAAATTACTATTTTTTCCATATATTTTGCAGCAAGAAAAATTATACTAAAAATGTTGGATAAAAATTACTCTAGCTTTTAAGTATTCTTTATTCCACCTAAATGATTTATGTTTAACAAGCTAAGATTGTCACCGAGTTAGTCATATAAGTTATGATGGATATGTAAGTTTCAGATACATGATTAGGAAAACATTAAGTACAGTCTGATAATTTAGGTTGTACATTTAAGAGTCACAAAATAATCCATTTCCAACTCAATTCCTGAAGGTAATATTTAATTATTATATAAATTATATAAAACTTTTGCTTCCCTATCAAAGCCATAACATTAAAAGTACAAAATATTATATTTATGTCTACATGTCCATGTAACTGATTTATCCAGAAAGGAAATTTTACGTTGCTTTTAAATCACTTCCCTGCTAAGATGATACTTTACAAAGAGATGTGATTAGAAGATAGCAAAGTTCAGTCACCATTAACAATTATGCATAGCTTTTGTGGAACAAATGGAAAAATTCATGTTTCCTTCCCCTCAGTTTTATTTTTACATTATAGGTAGTCAAACATGACCCTTGAGGCTTACCTCTGGATTGTGGTAAGAAGGAATGAAAACGAAAAATAATTACTTTTGTGAGATTCAGTAAATACTTAAGTCCACTTCTAAAATTTGAAAACAGAAACACGATCTAATGATTTAGATACAAGGGAGAAGCCAATATATTGACAATAAATGCTTTTTGCAGAGTACAACACACTTTTAAAGGCTATTTATTTTACAGTTTTCTTGGTGAATTTCCATAGCTCTCATTTTTAGTGCTATTTAATTTATTACTGGTCAGTTATCTGAAGGGCTTAGTGGGGATGTTTTGCTTCATGTTCTTAAAAGTCATTCAACGTACACCTACAGCCATCTGATCTTTGACAAAGTCAGCAAAAATAAGCAATGGGGAAAGGACTCCCTATTCAATAAATGGTGCTGGATAACCAATTAGCCATACACAGAAGAATGAAAATGGACCCCTATCTTTTACCACATACAAAAATTAACTGAAATTGATTAAAGATTTAAATGAAAGACCTCAAACTATAAGACTCCTGGAAGAAAAGCTAGGAAACACCATTCCTGACATCAGCCTTGGGAAGGAATTTATAACTAAGTCCTCAATAGCAATTGCAACAAAAGCAATTGACAAACGGGATTTAATTAAACTAAAGAGCTTCTGCACAGCAAAATAAACTATCAACAGAGTAAGCAAACAATCTACAGAATGGGAGAAAATACGTGTAAGCTATGCATCTGACAAAAGCCTAATATCCAGAATCTATAAGGAACTTAAATTGAACAAGCAAAAACTAAATAATCCCATTAAAAAATGGGCAGAGGACATGAACCAGACACTTCTCAAAAGAAGACATACAAGCAGCCAACAAACACAACAAAAAAATGTTCAACAAGTCACCAATCATCAGAGAAATGCAAAGCAAAATAGAGCGCTATTATTGAAAAGTCAAAAAAACAACAGATGCTGGTGAGCCCGTGGAGAAAAGGGAACACTTATACACTGTTACTGGAAATGTTAATTAGTTCAACCACTATGAAAAGCAGTTTGGAGACTTCTCAAAGAACTTAAATCAAAACTACCATTTGACTCAGTAATCTCATTGCTGGGGTATATATCCAAAGGGAAATAAATCATTCTATCAAAAAGAGAAATGCATTTGTACATTCATCACAACACTATTTGAAATAGTAAGGACACTGATTCTTCCTAAGTGTTCACTAATAGTGGACTCAGTAAAGAAAATGTGGTACATATACACCATGGAATACTATGCAGCCAGAAAAAAAAAAGATTAAAATCATGTCCTTTGCAGCAACATGGATGAAGCTAGAGGCCATCATCCTATGCAAATTAATTCAGGAACAGAAAACCAAATACCGCATGTTCTCACTTACAAGTGAGAGCTAAACCCTGGGTACTCACGGACATAAAGATAGCAACAGTAGACACTGGGGACTTCTAGAGTGGGAAGGAAAGGGAGTGGGGAGGGGTTGAAAAACGAACTATTGGGTGCTATATTCAATACTTGGGTGACGGGATCAATTGTACCTCAAACCTCAGCATCACAGAATATACTCATGTAACAAATCTGCACATGTACTCCCTGAGTCTAAAATTAAAGACGTTGAAATTATTTAAAAAATAAATAAATAAAAGCCACTCTGATTGTGAAAGAGCTAATGTCCCCACTATTCTGTCAGAGTAGGACAACCAATGTGTAAGTAACTTCATGGGTGCCCTTTGAACCATATCCAGGACAGTGACATCTTATTAAACTCTCCATCAATATCAAAGATTCCATTGCTACCATTGTATTCCGGTGACTACTCTTATAAAGACATGGTGTTATCAAAATATTTTGAGCCAACGTTACAGGAAACCAAGCCCAAAATCTTGTAGCCAAGCAGCTGGATTATACCTGAGCAAACATCTGGATCATGTTACACATTGGTCATTGTTTTTATGGCATTTTCCAGTGCTCTTGTCTACTTCCCAGAATTAAACTACCCAAAAGGGGAGATTTAACAGGATGGCAAATACATTTACAATCACAGCCTCTCCAAAATGAAATTTCAACCACACCTCAAAGCCTTTTTTGTGTTAGTTGCTTTCTCTGGGATATCTGAGAATAATTTGGCAAAGATCAGTGTTGGTGCCATACAGGAGCTTTTTCTCACTGGAGAAAGAACAGACCATTCCAATTTGTCTTCAGAAGATAAATAATATTACATCTAATGTCCAAGTTAGTATCCCTGAAAATCAGCCAATTTAAACTTTCTTCAATGACTTTTTGCTGAAAGGTGTGGTCTGGAAGAAGGTTCACCAGCTCACCCCTGCCTCCCAACCCACCCTGCCTCCCACCTTAAGGAAAGTGCAGAACAGGAAAAGCAGTATCTGGCTTGAAGCGCTTGCTTAGAAATGGCCCTTGCAAAGTATAGCTAAGATAAGAGAGGAAGGAAAGGGAGGGGACAGAAGTTACTGGCTGAGGCCCGGAAGGTAAAACCTTGACCAAATCCTGTCTTTGTAGCCTGCAGTGGGAGTCAGACAATAATATTGACACTTCACTGGGTCTCCTTCCAAAAGTAACTCTATAGTACAACATGATGCTTCAGGTATAGAAACTTTGTTCTTATTTGTTTAGCCAAATAAAATGTGAATCTAATGCATTTGCTTTGGGGAAAATAATTTAGATTATCAATAGTGCATCTACATAGATTTTTGTCCCATAAAGCTGGCAATTCATTTAATAGTATGAACTCGTTCGATTTCTGGGGTGTTCCAGCATCTAACCTCCGCCCTTACTTCCAGCCATACCTCTTAGTTGCAACCAAACTGAAATATCCTTTGTTGCATGTACAGATCTTGATTTTTGCCTTTGATCCCACGATATCCTGCTATATCCTACTCCATCTTGTTTGGTTCAGGGCGTCTCCATTTTTCAAAGGTCTAGTTCCTTCAAGTCTTCCTCAATTCAGTTTTCCTGAGCAAATATTGATTGATCTTTTTGCTGAACAAAATAGACATTGTCCTCATGAAGTTTACTCTTTTAAGCCAGCAATAAGGTTTCTTCTTTGAACATCTATAGCACATGATTTTACCTCTCCTATGACACAACCTTTTATACCTTAAAGTAATTTATGATCATACCATATTTCCCAGAGAAGACTGATAAGAACATGACCTCTTATGGCTCAACATATCTCAGTAAGTAATAGTTGAATGAATATGAAAAGCATAAAAAGACCTCTGAATAAGAAGTCCAGGAATTGACACCAAAGAACTTATTAGCTAAACACTTCTTAGCAAAGATAATAAGTCAGCTTAGCACTGGCTTACAACGACTTTGTAGCTTACAAGAGAGGGATTCCAAAGAAGAGAAATGAATGGACTGAAAACTTTCTAAACTAACCACCCTTGTTGCTGGCCAGCTTCGCTGATTTCCTGAGCCCTGAGGAGCTGGGCATCTGCACTGGGGAAACAGGAGGAGGGGGCAGAAGCTTTCAGTTTACCAGAAGGAATATAATAAACAAACAAACAAACAAAATTGTGGTTCAAAGGAGTGGTTGAGTAAGTGTGAGTGGAAGTATTAAACACTGTCGAGGAGAGGCGGTGAAAAGCATAATTGCTTCGAAAGAACTAATAGAGATTTTTTCAATAGAAAACGAGTATTAATGCAATTGACTCTGTTAATCCCTCAAATTCTGAAAACCTTATATAAGTTTAGTAAAAGAAATAAATGTTGTAAACAGATTAGATGGAAATTCTCTTCATTTAATAGGAAGAACTTTTCCTACTTTTATGAATTTCCATATTAGAAAGTCAGCGTTTTTTCCTGCCATAAAACATGTTTAAAGGGTAACTCCTAGACAGCCACTAATTTGCATTTCAATAAACAGACTGAAAATGTCCACAGAAGTTATGGTGACTCTTTTCTAGCAAGGTTGAACGAGAAATTCAATTCTTTTAATGCTCAGGTCCAACGTTGAAGAAAATCATTTCAGTTGCAATATATTTTTGAGTATCAAAGGTAAATTTCAGTGCTATGTATACATTTAGTACTGGAGGCTCATGGATGAGCCTGCGATTTTTGTCACAGGACGTTAGAGACACAAAAACATTGTACAAAGAACTTTGCTTTTAGCTTGCATTGTTTTGTGAATATGAACGAATGCAAAGACCACATGTGTAAGACACATTATACCTGAATAACCAATGAAAGGCCGTTTGGGGCTCCATATTAATCACAGAACAAGAAAACCCACTTTGCTTCATTAATTATTAGCAGTTCTTACTACAAATAATTAGAAGGGAAATGAGATGTCCTTCTCTTATAAACAAGTGTTTATCCAAATCAACTAACACAGATTAGACTCTGGGTGAATTCAAGCTTCTCAAAAACCTGTGTTTGACTTCAATCCTGTAGCTCAGTCTACCGCACTTGTAAATCTCCCAAAGAACAAAAACAAAGCTCTAAGTTTTTTTATTCATAAGAGGGAAAACCAGGAATATTCAGAAAGCAGAAGATGGAGACTCCACTGCCTACCCTATCCAGATAAGTTTATTTGGATGTAGTTTACTCTATCCGGAGTCAAATCCCCTAAACACAAGACTGCTATTTCCAAGGTGGAAAGGGAAAGAAAAGAAATACAAAAAGTAAAAGGAACAAAACAAAAACCGCGTGAGGGTGGAAGCGCGCGGGTTTCTGCCGTCGCTTCGCAGAAAAGGCAGAGGCGTCTGCAAAGGTCCTTCTGCAAAGGTCCCGGTCCATCCAGCTCAACCCAACTTGGCCCGGATCGTGACCCAAGCCCGGCCCCGAGCCTCTGACCCTCTCCGCCGCCCTCTGTCACTGACCTGCGTAGACAAAGAGCAGGACCAACTTCGGAAGCAAGACCCCTGGACGCACGGGCAGCCTCGGAGCGTCCATCCAAGTCGGTGGCCTGAGGTTGCGCGCCAGAGAGAGGCTTGGAGCGAAGGGAGAGCCCGGAACCGGAGGGAATGGGTAGGATGGAGGACGATCAGATGGAGAGAGCAGCGCTCCTGAGAGCCGGGTGGAGCGGAGACCCGGCCATTGCCTAGGGAACCTTCCAAGGGAGCCCGGACCCGGCGCGTCCCGGGCCAGCCAGTGCGGGACTCCGCGGAGCTGGGGCGCGCGTGGCCCGAGACGGGCTGCGCTGGGGGCCCAGGTCTCTTTGTCTCGCCCCACTGCGCTCAGGCGCTGGGAAGGCGGCCACTCCGGCGTCCTTGGCCACCCAGGCTCACATTTCATCTCCGCGGGTGGCAACGACTCCGGGCAGGGGGCGGGGGTGGCCCCGACTCCTCCCCAACCTCGGGTTCTTCCTTCTAAAGAGTGACTAGAGGACCAAGAAACTTTTTCTAACCCCTTGCTTTGGCGATTGCTGTGGAGTTCAACCTGCTCCTTTTTAGCCCTGCCCTCCACTACAATTTTTCCTTTCAAAGCAATGGATGAAAAACTTTGTTTTTTATCTTTAAACGAAGGGAAGGAATTTTCAGGACTGAAGGTATTGGATAAAGAGTGACAGCGACGAAAACTCAGGATTGGGAAGTACAGAAAGTGTATGGCATCTCTGCTGAAAGCTGATAAAATGTTTATTATTTTTTCCTGTAAATTCAGGGGAAAAAACCCAAACAAACAGTGCACATTGTCGTTATGATTTTGACAATGTTTTGGAGTTACTGACCTATGCAATTAAACAAGAGAAAGAAAAAGATTTATAAAAAATGAAAGCTAAATTGTCATTAGCAAATGAAATATGTGTATACATGGAAAATCAAAGTTAATCAACTATGAAGTTCTTGTTTAGAAAACCAATAGTTTTCTTTCCTGCAAACAAAAATCAGTTAGAAAGTTCTCAATGTCATGCATGAAGAAAAAAACAAAGATGTGAATAAGTAAAGAGATACTTTCACTAAGAAATTTTAGTAGCATAAAGATAAGATTCCCCAAATTATTCTATACATTTAGAAATAAAATTGATCTCAATTAAAAAAATAACATGATTTTTTCAAACCAATCTGATTCTAAAGTTTATGTGGAAAATAAATATGTAAGATTATCTATCTAAAACAAGAGTAATGAATGGGAATAATGAATGGGATATTACATATAATATCACCATAATTAAAAAAGTTTAGATTAACTTTGGAATACATAGGCTCAATGAAAGAGTAAAGGGAACCCAAAAGTAGACATGAGTGTGTACAGCAATTTAATTTATGGTTTAAAGAAGTATCAATATAAAGTAGTAGGGGAAATGATGAGTTACTCAGTGAAAAGTGTTGAGACCATGAATAGCCATCTGTGGAGCCTTATCTTTTTACATCAAAATCAGTTCTATATGAATTACATATTTAAGATAGAACTATGCAAATGTTAGATTAAAGAATAAGAGGATAATATTCAAATATTTGTGGAATAGGGAAGCCTTGTCTAAACATTATAAAAAACTCAGAAACCGTAAAATATTGACCAACTTGACTAAATAAGAATTAAAACTTCCAGTTGGCAAACATTCAACTGGCAAAAACATTTGCAATGCAAAGATGCAAAGTCCTAATCTCATTATTATACTGAGCGTAAAAGAATCAATAGGAAAAACAACCAAGAGATAACTGAGGAAGGGTATTAATAGATACTTCATACAAAACAAATAAATATAAATATAGAAATCAAATTGACAGTGAGACATCACTTTTCATGTCTCAAACCAACCAAACACAAAACCAAATGAACTCTTAAGGGAAACAATGTGTTTACATGTATGAAAATTCAAATACACATGTACTTAATTTAGTCAGTTCTCTTCCGGGAATTATTTCCTATAAATGCACTGCTGCAAGGGCATAAGAGAGTGGGAGGAAACATCACCCCCAAAATAAACATAAGCTAAGCTCTTTACTGTGTTTTACACCTTGGTGAAGGCCCAATCATCTACCACGTTAAAAGAAGCCTGATCAGTTCCACCTGTTTTCTCATCCTCACTGGCCAATCTGTCACCGAGTTCACCTAATCTGTCCACCTAAACACCACTCAAATGCATTTTAAATTATCCTCTATTTCTGCCCTAATCTAGACTTTTATAGTCTTTATTATATTCAGTCTCCCTGCCTTCAGAGATGTTTGCCAGGCTGAAGCTGGAATATTTCTTCTTAAACTACAGATTTAATCGTGTTTACTCACCTGGTTAAAACTCAGTATCATCCTGTCGCCCTTAGGTTAAAATTCAAACATTTAATCCAGGGTGTTTAAGGACTTCTTCACTACGTCCTGTCGTTCTTGTATCCTGATCAAAACATTCCACTGGGAAGCACAATTTCTAAATAACTGGGACAATGGTTGGAACCTAGAGAAAATCCCAGGCATACAAGCCCTTTGAGTCTTGAAGGAAGAAGATACAGATGGAAGTCAGTGTTTGCAGAGCTGAAGAATGATATCCAGCCTGCTTGGAATAGAAAAATGATTGTCTTTGCAGATGAGACTGAATCCAGATCCTTGAGGGGAGACTGGTAGCTGTGATAGAAGAGGGACTTCTGCCGCCCACTCGTTGACACAGATCCGGAAGAGGCTGGCTGTTGCCATTGAGCCCCATAGGAAGTTGCAATGTTGGTCAGGATAGTCTCTTTCAGCTTACTTTTGAGAATAGAAAGACTTCTCATACAGTTCAACAGACTGGTCGAGCAAGCTTGCCTGCAGGTCTACCTTCTAGAGTTGCTACCTTGAAGTATGCAGATGCTCAGGAAACCAAACTCAATTGACATGGAAAGGCAAAGAAAGATGGCAAGCCATTAAAGAAATTGTGGGAGTTAAAAGAAAGGCTTTGAAGGAAAAAAATATGTATATACAAATATGTATGGAATGAGAAACCTTAAGAATACAACATCAGAGGAATTAAAAGAGTTTCTGGAAATTAAAATAAATATGATTTGGGGTTTTAAAATATACAGAAAAAAATTATAAAATAGTCACATTAAAACAAAAAAACAAAAAAAACAAAAAACACTTAGTTTGTTAGATCAGGCCAGGCATGGTGGATAATGCCTGTAATCCCTGCACTTTGGGAGGCTGAGGTGGGTATCACTTGAGGCTAGGAGTTCAAGAACAGCCTAGCCAACATGGTGAAACCTCGTCTGTACTGAAAATACAAAAAATTAACTGGGCGTGGTGGTGCGCGCTAGTAGTCTCAGCTCTCAGCTATTCCGGAAGCTGAGGCAGGAGAACCGGGAGGCAGAGGTTACGGTGAGCTGAGATCGTGCCACTGCACTCCAGAGTGAGACTCTGTCTCAAAAAAAAGAAAAAAAAATTGTTAGATCAAATAAAGAGCGTTTTTCATATAACAGAGAAAAAAAACACAAAGAAATAGAAACCACGAATAAAAATATAAAAACCCAAAGAATGGGAATAATGTGCAGGCTAATAGTTTTCAAAGAAACAAAAAGTGAAAAAGCAAACATCAAAGAAATAATGTTTTAAAAATTCTGAGCTGTAATAAAATTTGAATTTTCAGATTTAAAATGGTGAGTTAGTTCCGAGAAATTTTTTGGAGACGAAGCACAAATATGTACATATCTTAGAGACCAATTTCAGCAAGTATAAATTTAAAATCATATACATTTTCATATATAATTTTTATGTTTGCTTGAAAAAGAGAATCTGACAGGCATCAGACTTCCCATTTGCAACCTTGGAATTTAAGAGAGTGAAACTATTTTTAACCCACTGAAAGATAAAGAATGCAATCCAAGAACCCTCTTCTAAATCAGATTTTATTAATATTTCTGTCCACTATGACATCTAGAACAATGTTTATTACAATTAAAAAATTAGTTTACATGTACAACAGAGGTAAAACAGTTAAGTAAATTAGGGTATATGTACATTATGAACTGATATCTAATGTTTAAAATTATTGAAAAGATCTTTAAGATATATAGTTAAATAAGAAACGGAGTACAAAATGATCTCAACGGTGGAAAAATGCAGATAATGTTTTCATCTTCTATTGAACTTTCTTTTTCCCCACTTTCTTCCTGGGTATCTCTCTTTTTTAAAAAAAGTACCTGTGAATGATATATATGCTGACATTTTAAATGCTTGAAGATGATTAAAAAGCTATAGTTGAAATACGACAAGTAGTTTTAACTTACAGTTTCATTTAGGACCTAAAAGTTAGAATAGGACAGGACTCCACAGATTGTCTAGGTCAGTTTCCCAGTTTCTTATGTAAGAAGACTAAGGCCAAATTACCAAGTCAGTTAGAGGCAGGCTAGATCCCATGGCAAGAGGCCACATACCAGATTTTGCCATGATGTGGTAGTGTGTGTTCAGGTTTGATGATAATCCCCTTTTGAGTTCCCTGACCCACATTTCTCTCTTCCAATAATGTATTTCACCATATAGTCAAACAGATTAGTATAATATCTTATCATTAATTACCTATTAATAAATACAACAAAAACATTTTATGTACACGCAAGGGCTCTACTTGCATGTCTGTTCTTCATCTTCATTTAATGACATGTGAATGCCAAGGAAAAAAAGTACTTATATGGAAATATGCAAACAACTCAGAAGAAAACAGGAAGAAAAACTGTGAAGAAAAGGGGAGATGATTTAAGTGTCGCATTTAAGGTGTAGAAGGAATATCAAATGCTTATTATGCACCAAGTGCATTTCTAAGTTCTTTAAATTTATTCATGAATACTCTCTCAGTGAGGTAGATACTATTATTATCACCCCTATTTGAATGAATAAAGGTATTGAGACTGAGAGTGGCTAAGTAACTCTGCCCAAGGTCACACATCTAAGTGCCATGAGAATGTGTCTCCAGAGCAGACCTTCTACCCCAACCATCAAATGTAAACTGCCTTTCAAAATAGCTTGCTTGGTTTTGGTGAAATTTAACATTCTCACTTTGACTATGTAAAAAACAGAAGATAACACGTTCCCATGACCTTTCTCAACAGCAATGATTTTATTAGCATCAATAATGCTTTACTGAGGCACCTCCCCTGTGCAAGACCTACCATCAAGTGTAGGATGGTTTGAGGAAACAACTTTCTTTTTTTTTTTTTTTTTTGAGACGGAGTTTCACTCTTGTTGCCCAGGCTGGAGTGCAATGGCGCGATCTAAGCTCACAGCAACCTCCGCTTCTTTAGCTCAAGCGATTCTCCTGCCTCAGCCTCCCAAGTAGCTGAGAGTACAGGCATGCACCACCATGCCCGGCTAATTTTGTATTTTTTTAGTAGAGACAGGGTTTCTCCATGTTGGTCAGGCTGGTCTTGAACTCCCGACCTCAGGTGATCCGCCCGCCTCGGCCTCCCAAAGTGCTGGGATTACAGGCATGAGCCACCACGCCCGGCGGAAACAACTTTCTTTTTAAAAAACGATTTCAACTTTTATTTTAGATTCAGTGGGTACATCTGCAGGTTTGTTAAATGGGTATATTATATGGTGCTGAGGTTTGGGATTTGAGTGATCCCATCACCCAGGTAGTAATGAACATAGTACTCATATTTTTCATCCCTTGCCTCCCCCTTCTAAAGTCCCCAGTGTCCATTGTTGCCATCTTTATGTTCATGAGTACCCAATATTTAGCTCCCACTTTTAAGTGAGACTATGTGGTATTTGGTTTTTTATTCCTGCATTAATTCATTTTTAATTATGGCCTCCAGAGACATCCATGTTGCTGCAAAGGACATGATTTTGTTGTTTTTAAATTTTTTACAGCTGTGTAAT